TCCTCTATATATTTACTACATGATTACTACACTTTTTTTGCAATATTTGAAACACTGATAACGCAACTGTTATTCCTGCTTTATTTGCGGTAGTCTGCGTGCGATTGCAGTTTCTCCCCACATAAGTCTTGTTTGTGGCTGCAGCGGTGAGCAGCAGCCAACACGGGCAGATCTCATTTGCTTTTGATGAAACTGCATTTTCAGTGGATAACTGTTCCTTTTTTTTTTTTTTTCCCCATTGAGCCTTAATTAGGAGAACATAGCTGTTGAAAGCCTTGTCTTGCCCTTCCCCTCTTCCTGCACACAAAGTCTTTTTCACAGACTCTGGGTTGTGTTTTGGGTTGGGTTTTTTTTGTCAAACAGCTCAGCAAAGCTGACAGATTGACAGTCATTAAATACAAAAACTTCATTTCACAATATCCTTAAATTACATAGTTCAAATGAAAAATGACACTTGCTTAAGGCATAAAATGTGGTTCTTGGGGTTTTTTCCCCTACTTCTGCCTTTTCCTATGAAGACTTAAAGTATTATTCTTTTTATTATGGTAATGTAAAACCTCTTTCTTGCATCTCAAATTAAAATAGGGAAAGCTTGCTATGTGCCTTGGATAATGATTCAGCTATTGATCCAGCAGATGCTTTATTAGATTATTTTGAGACAGCCAAATGTAATTTAATACCTATTTATTTTCTATTCCTATGCCAGTCTGAGATACAATCTTTTCTCCATGAAATTAGTACTTTCTCCTTTCAACCTCAAAGAAAGATTACGCTATGCTCCTTTCTTGCATTAGTTTGGGAAGCTTTTTCAACAAAACATTGATCTTGAGGGTTCTCAATAGTCTTTTTTACTTTTAATACTCTGAAGCCAAAACCTCAGCTGGGATCAGTGGGTTCTAGGCTTGTCTTTCATTATGCATTAATGCAAGAACTAGTGATGTCAGATAAAAGGGAAAGATTCCAAATGAGGACAATCAAGACAAAAAAGGAAAAATGAGCAGGTTTCATACAGGCAGAGAGAAGGAAGAGGAATGGCATTCCTTTCACATAGTTCCAGTTGTGGATACCAGTGACAAGTGGCGTTCCCCAGGGGCCAGGATTGGGACGGCGCTGTTTAACATCTTTGTCGGTGGCGTGGATGGTGGGATCAGGTGCCTACAGTCCCTGAAGGGGCCTACAGTCAAGATGGTGAGGGACTGGTTACCAGGGAGTGTAGTGACAGGACAAGGGGAATGGCCTGAAGCTGCAGGAGGGGAGATGGAGATGAGATGTGAGGCAGAAATTCTTCTCTGTGAGGGTGGTGAGGCCTTGGCACAGGGTGCCCAGAGAAGCTGTGGCTGCCCCTGGCTCCCTGGCAGTGTTCAAGGCCAGGTTGGATGGGGCTTTGGGCAACCTGGGCTAGTGGAGGGTGTCCCTGCCCATGGCAGGGGTGGCACTGGGTGGGCCCCAACCCCAGCCTGTGATGCTATGACTGGTCCATACAAGGCACATTGACATGACCATCTAGCAGCCAGCCTGTCCCCAGAAGGCAGAACGAGGAACGGCTCGTGCACCTTCAGCAGCACCGAGAAAATTCAGGGTCCTCTCTCACGGTTCTGAAACTGTCCCAATCAAACTGCCTGGGGACCTTCTAATAAAGCACGGGCAGCCAAAATTGCTCCCCTCTTAATGAAAGCACTCTCTAACTCCTTTATTTCTCTGTTTGGACCCTGGAAAGGGAGGAAGGGACAAGGGCAGGGGGATCTCTAGAGGGGAAAATTACTTTATCTGAAACAAACAAACAAAATTTTGCAAGTTAAGTATCACACAAAATGCTCCTAGAAAAGTAATTAAATGGTGACTGTTCTCATGCCACAGGAAGCACCACGAACCAAACGCTGGAAAAAGCACGCTCCCCCACCGTTCCACACTGTCCGAATGAATCTTCCGGCAGCGGTGCTGCCTTGCCCTCTGCCCGATGTCTGCAGCCCCTCGCTGGGTCCCCCAGGCTGTGAATGACCAGGAGGGACCTCCCCGTCATCACTGCACGCAGCACGTTTCATCCCTCCTGATCATCGCTACACCTTTCTCTCATGCTTTTGGATTTAACGGCAACAAATGCACAGGGAACCAAACCCATAGTGGCTCTGAACTGCCCCAAAATAATATCAAGCATTGTTAGAGCAGAGGTGGCGGACCTGAGCGGGATCGGGGGCTTTGATTTCCCCTCTGCATCCCCAAGGGGTGCTGAGCTCTTTAATCGCTCTTTAACAACAGGCGTCGGCGAGGAGATGCCGACCTTCAGACCGAACAGCACAAGCTAAGCGGGGAGCAAGCTCTGTCAACACAGACGTGCCTTAAAAATGGAACTCTGGCTTCAAGCAGCACAAATCCATGTCCTAATTGTACCTCGTAGTGCACGTTAAGCCGTCCAGATGACACTCATATTCTGGTGTTAATAAGCCATTTGTCCATCTGGTGCTCATACAGATGACACACCTTCTCAAGGGTGTTTTACAAGTGAAATGTATCAACTCTATAAATATATAGATAATGTACAAAAAGAAATTCCACAGAAATCAACTACAAACCCTTGTTGATGAACATAGACATGACTGGAGCTGAACTGCACCGCGTGAATCCCAACGTGTCTGTGCTGATCCCAGGAAAGCGCGTGCTTGCAGTTTTCACTGGGAAAAGCGAACAGCAGCAGCCACTCAGCTGACATTGCACAAACAAAACAAGACACGAGTGCTGACCACTTCTCACCTCTGTACAGCACCAGGGCTGCGAGTGGGCTGGCAACCAGATGGTATTTCTAGGGGTAAGAGCTCAAATTAAGGGAATCAGACAGCAGTATATGTGCCCAAAGCAGCTTCTGGCCCTTTCTGGGTACAAGAGCAAGCTATGGCTTGTGTACACGGGAGGACGCGGACAGACCAGCAGCAAGGAGACTTCAGAGACAGATTTGTACTAGCAGCTGGGGCAGGTTTTACTCCAATTAATCAAACTTGTAGCAGAAAGTTTAGAAAAAGCAGATTTCAGAGGCAAGAAGCCACATGTCCAGCTCCATACCTCTGTCAGCAGAGGACTGTTCCCTGCAGAGTATTCTTCTGGCACAGTCTAGCTTAGGCACGAAGATCGCAGTAGGTGTCCCTTTCCCAAGGCATCACAGTGTAAGATGAGAACCTCAATTTAAAACAAGACGCCCCCACTGCAAAGCAAGCCAGCCTTCCTGGAGAGCAGTAATTGGAAAGACTTTCTTCTGTGCAAAGTTAGAGTCAGGTAATTATCAACATTTAAGTTTCAGGGAAATATTACAGATAAATTTATAATCTTGCAACACATTGTTCTAAAGGGAGAGTCTTCACACCACCTTTTGCCAAGAGGAAATAATCAGGGAAGGGTTTTTCATCTTCTCCTGCCTCTTACCATTTTAGAGAGTAGGGATACAAAATCCTCACTAATAAAGGGAAACTGATGAACCAACATAAGAAAGTGGAACATACACTGTATTATTTTCCAGACAGAGTAGCAGTCTGTTACTGATAAACAAACAGGACGAAATTGCTAATTACAGCCTGGAGCTAGGAGGACTTTTATGAGGAGTTCCATGCTGGAGTTTGAGCACCTGTTCTCAACAGGAAGAAATGTTTCCTCTCCAAAGGACAGACTAGAATTAGCATGGCTGCAACCTTTTATGAGGCCATAGCACCGCTCCAGTCATTAGACCAGACTGATTAAAACTGCTTTGATCCTGTTCCCCTTGTACCAACCTGGCTCGTTCCCCAGCCTGGCACATTTGACTTTGCAGGCGGCTTTTGTTCCAATTTTACAACCCATTTAATAGCTTGAATTCCTAAATAGATCCTTTCAGAACTACAGTACGCTACCATAAAATATGACACCAGGAGACACCGTAGCAGTCTACTCTTTCATTGCCCTGTGTGACTGCAGGCAGACATTCATTCGTTATGACTTATCCATCCTGCTCTCCTCCCTCCCAATCACAATGAAATTCTAGAGGTCCAAGAGGCTTTTCAATGCTACGCAGAGGGTGTGTGGAAATACAGGATGTTCTGAGGAACAGCATCAAGGCTTCTCGCTTCGATTCCCAACTGCATGACTCTTGGGGCTGATCAGGTACATGCTCATCGAGGTCTCTCTTCTGCAGAAAGTCTTAAATGGAACCCAACAAAACAGCAAAGCTACATTTAATATTCTTCTGGTGAGAGAGGGCGAGGAAGGAACTGTTGAAGTGTGAAACCTCTTGATGTATTTGTGTGTACTTTTGATTCAAGAGCTAGAAAGCGATGCACAGACCACCTCAACACACTCATTTCACACTGTTCCTGGGTACAGCAGGATGCTGCAGGATACAGTATGACCTTGGTATAAACAAGCAGTGACCGGTACCTGACAACAGGAAGGATAATTACTGCCCAGCACCTGGCTATCAAACTATTTTAGTGAATTGGCAACATTTTATTTTCCCTAACGGTCAGAAGAACATTTGTTCCTGAAGGTTTTTGGAATGATCTGGCAGGTAAACCGCATCAGACAGGAGCCAAGAGGAGGAGCCCTGTGATGGGTTTTTAACTTACATGCTGCGACCTTCAGACATTTGCTGTATCTCTTACTCTTTCTTTTATCAATACTTGATATTCATTCTTCAGAGTCCAGACTCCCACGCAACACAGTGAGACCTCTCAGTATTCTCAGAACAAGTTAGCAGGAACAAGACTGACTAGAGACTTTGGAATTAAGTAACTGTTTTTACTTTCAAGTGTCATAGTGCCAGACTCGTAACTCAAGCTAACAGCAGAATATACAGAGAATATTCAATACAGAGAAACTCAAGCACCTGAAAATGATCGGCCAGCACGGCACAGCCAGAGAATTCTTCTTAAAAGGTTTGACCCCTATACAAAGGTTAACACCACACCGAAAAATGCATTTTGGTCAACATGAATACAGTTGCACAGGTCTAACAAGTACTGACACCAACTCTCCGTTTAAACCTGGCCAGCATCTCTTTATTCTTCCTACTTCTCAGAGGAACACCTCTCACTAACTACTATCCAGATAAAAAGGGAGCATTAATGATGTGCCAACTTGAATATATATTTAATAACTTAGCACAGATTTGAGACATGGCCATTTAATGTTTGAATAAGCTCTGAATTTGTGTCAAGAGAGAAACTAACAGAACTCCAACAAGATATTGATGACCTACAACTCACTGAAATAATTTAACACATTTACAAGAACTGTTAAGGTATGGCTAAGAGCTGTACATTCCACCTGAAGCTCAGACATTACTACCAGCATTTCCAGTATGCTTATTCCTTCTTCCACTACTACCCATTGATGCGGTAATTCACATGGATTTCAGGTTTGATGTCACACACTAGTGACAACAGCTGCGAGAGGACCACCTCGCGGTTCTTCTGGAAGTTCTGCTGGATCACGCTCATCTTTTCCTGGGTCTCTTTCTCAACTTCAGTGGTGCAGCTCCCATGAGATCCAAGTGCCTACACATAGCAAAGGAAAGAGAAAGCTGATGTGGGACTAGTTTGATGAAGAAAACACTAGGCCTAGTATTTTATTATTCTGGACTGTCTCAGTGCATCTCAACCATTAATCTTTGCTGAGGGAAGAACTACATTTCAAGAAAAAAAAAGTTCTGTTGGATTCGCTGCTCGGATTTCCAACTAAACTTGCCCCAATTTTATATTTCATCCACAGCCTGTGTCTTTTATCCTCTCTTATTCTTTATCAGTTTAGAGCATGAGCTTCTAAAGAATGTCTGAAATAAAGGTCCTGCTGTACTGGCAACTGGAACTGGGAAGCCCTGAGCACTACTGTACTAGATAGTTTAAGAAAATTAACACCCATGATTTAGTTTAAGCACAGTCTTCACATCATCCCATTGCTTCTACCCTTGGAGAACTTCTATGAACATCTCTGCCTTCCTAACAGGACGGTGGGCCACACGATACACACAGCAAGCAGTCTCTCAGAGCTTACAAGGTCCTTCTTGGCCCATCATCAAGGGCAGAGAGAGCAAATTCCCATTGTAAGTGTGGGGGGAAAAAAGGCACAGAAAAAATATGCTGAAGGAGAGTAGCACCATGGGACTCAAATTCAAAGAGCTTCTCTCTCTGGAGAGGGATAAATAAAACAGAACCAGATGGCAGGCAGTGAGGTCCACTTTAATAGCCTAGAATGGCCTGATATCATACGCCTAGGGAACCAAGCTAACAAGTGATTGTAAAAAATTAATCTTGACCTACTGACACAAAGGCTATTATGCAGGAGAACAGAGGAGGTGGAATTGTGCTAACCAGAAGATGGACAGAGGGCTGCCAGCTCATTTTCTGAAGATTTCAGAACTGACAGGGGCAGCCAGGCAGCGGAAACAACCGTGGCTAGTGAAGGGCCTCAGTTCTGTGCCTTTTGGGAATACCCCTTTTTGCTCAGAAGGAAAGGAAAACACACCCTTTGCGACACAGCAGGCAACACTGCTAAGCAGAATACAAGCCTTACAACTGCTTCAGCAAGAGAGCGGCATCTACGAGGTGAGTGGTTTCCATCACACTAGCACCATAAAACCTGCTTGTCACAGGAGGAATGAGCTTGGTCTTTTTTTTGACACTGCTGCATCCACCAGGCTTTAAGAGGCTGCCACCCATCCAGGCACCAGCCAGCACATAAGCTTATTAAGCCAATTTACTGTCAGTCAGTAGTTCTGGCTGTTGAGATGCAATACACAACGTTCTGATTCACTTCCACTGGTTTTTCCGTGACACGTGGCTGTGCCTCAGAGGAAGGCAGTTAGGGAAGTGCTCCTCAAGCAACACATCCCACCCCGAGGGCTGCTCTCAGAGCAAGTAACCCCAAGCGCAGGCTCAGGGGCTAGGTAAGTAAACAGGGAATGATCTAGAAAACAAACCGCTGCTTCCTTGGCTTTGAACTCCTTCTCCCTCTGCAGGCGGTACTGCTCAATCTCTGCCTGGGCTTCTTCTTTTGCCTGCTTCAGCCTCCGATTCTTTCCTGTTTCCAAAGGACATACCACATGAAATAAAGAGAGAAAGCATTGAGAATGTATTTCCCCACACCTCTCCAGCTACCTGATGCAAAACAATCACTGTAGCATTTGCTACTGCAGCAGGTCCTTCCGTAGGAGGCATCAGCAGGGCACCACGCACCCTCGCGGCCCCTCCAGCTGCATGGTGTTAGCCCACCTCAGGAGCACGAGGCCGCTCTGCATGCCACCAAACCATAGCCAAGCTCACCACGCAACAAGCTCCCACCAGCAAGAACTGGAGAGGTTCTCCAAGCCAGTGGCTGCATTAGGCAACCTGCAGCTCTGGCCTTGTTCATGTGAGTGTGCAACACCCCTGAGTGATCCCAAGGACAACAGCAGAAAGCACATTAAGTCTTAGTTTTGCCTCAGGCCAGTTGTGCAATTGAGGAAAAAAACAACTACTGCATCAACTTCCCCTCCAAGGTTATCATCATTAGAATGAGCTACAACAAATTACTTCTCACAAAACAGTGGGGGGTAGAATCACAACACAGCGCAGCTTCATTGAAAAAAATTAATGAAATGCTCAAAGCACAAAAATTTGTAAAGGTGGGGAGCTTTGTAACCAGCATTTCTCTCGCTTAACAGGAAAAGCTAACTTGGCTCCTCAAGGAGTTCTCTGAGCTCTACAAAATGTCTAACCTCCAACATGGAAACTCACTGTTTTCATCAAGAAAAAAAAAAAAAAAAAAGAAAGAATTTAAAGGTAGGAAAGATGCAGACAAGCACAAGCATCCCCCAACCAAAGACCCTGCTGCCACGAAGGACAGGGGTTCGATGGGGGCCTCCCAGGGATCAGTCGCAC